CGGGCTGCTTCCGCCGGCGGACGGACGGGTGATGGATGGGCAGACGGATGGATGGATGGATGGGCAGAGGGATGGATGGACGGATGGGCAGAGGGATGGATGGAGGGATGGCTGCGGGGTGGGTACCTGGGTCTCGGAGAGGCTGAGGCTGCTGGCCAGCTGCTTGCGCTCGGCGCCCACCACGTAGTGGTTCTTCTCGAAGGCCCGCTCCAGCCGCAGGAGCTGCGACGGCGAGAAGGCGGTGCGGATGCGCTTGGGCTTCCGAGCGAAGGGGCCGTGGAGGAGCAGGCTCTCCTGGGACACCTCGTTCCCTACGGACAGAGAGCGGAGTCAGGGGCCCGCGCCGGCACCCCCAGCCCCGCAGCTCCCGCTCTGTGGGTGTAGGGGGGGGATGTTGGGGAGACCCTCGTGCCCTGAGACACGGGGAGGATGGACAAGGGGGTACTGGGGGGGCCTGGGCACTTTCCCCACCCCAAGATGTCCGGCTGTGCTCCCTCCCTGGCTGACCTGGGTCCCGTGGTGGGGCTGGACACAGGGGCAGTGTGAGGGGAAGGGAAAGGGGAGAGAAGGGAAGAGAGGGAGAAGGGACAAATGGGGAGAGCAGGAGGAAGATGAAAGAAAGAGAGTGACCAGGGAGGAGGCAGAGAAGAAACAGAGAGAAAGAAAGAAAAAGGAGATAAAAAAGAGGAGAAAGAGGGAAGCAGCCTAAGAATGTGACGGGAAAAGAAAGAGATGGAAAGGGAGAATCAAGAAAAAAAAAGTAAAAGAAGAGAGAAGGAAAGACAAGAAGGAAAAGAAACGAGTGAAAGGGAGAAGGAAAGAAAGGGAGAAGGAAAGTGGGAAAGCAAGAGAGAAAAAGGAAGGAAGGAAGGGAGGAAGGAAGGATAGATATGAAAAAAAGAAAGAGGGAAAAGAGAGAAGGAAAAGAGAGAAGGAAAAGAGAGAAGGAAAAGAGAGAAGAGAGAAGAAAAAGAGAGAGGGAAAAAGAGAAGAAAAAGAGAGAAGGAAAAGAGTGAAAAGAAAGAAAGAGCAAAAAGAAAGAAAAGAAAGAAAAGAAAGAAAAAGAAAGAAAAGAAAGAAAAGAAAGAAAAGAAAGAAAAGAAAGAAAAAAGAGAGAAACCCTTAGGGACAGCAAAGGCCGGGAAGCAAGGCGGCCGG